GTGTCGGTCTGTTTCTTCTCTGATTTGAGTTTGTTCATTGTTATCGATTGGTTAACGATCCTCCTATCACTGTAATTATTAGATGGATGTTGACTCCGAGGTGGTTTCTGTTTTTCGGCTGACTGTTTTGAGCGATTAATGATTGAAGACTCGCTGCAAGTCAGTCTAGTTCCAGAGTAGCGTTTAATAATGTTTTAGAGAAAAGCGTACGTACCAACAAGTCTGCCGCCGAATCAAGGAATAGACTATGTACCAACAACAGTGCCGACATTTTGACTTCTATCCCTCGACATTTCGTCACAATATAAGATTCTTTTGTTGCTTTGCACTGGTCAGCATTGACCGCTACTTCTCTGAACGAAGATCTGTTTTATTTAAATCTGAGAGTTGGAGGGAGGAGTTGCACCATATGCTCATTTTTTATCGATACATTTAATTTATTCTGGACCACAAAATGTTTCTGTCTCTATTGTTCATGAGTTCAAGGACTTGTCACCCGTTTCTTAGCCGGTTATGGCGAAGCAACATCGAGTTATTTCTCCTTGCTCATTTTTTCTGGATTTTTTTCCTTTTTTTAAACCTGACACGTCCAAAATTCTAAGGGGATGTGTTGCCACTCATGATTTTCAGTGCTGTAATTAGCATTATTTTCTGCAATCGTATGGCCCTGCTGAATCGCCCTATGCTTCAAACGGCTTACGAGGAGATGTAGGGTCATGTTTACATCATGTTACACATACTTGATGATACGGTGACGGTTTATATTATAGTGTATTGATTCCCGAATCCTGCGGCAGTATATGCGTAGTCGTGGTTCAGACGAATCAAGCAAAAATTTTCACAGACTGCGGTCGACAGCACTCACCACCAACGTCGTATCTAAGAAGGCCGCCTCAGGCTCTTCATTACTGTGCTTGCCGCTTCAGAGAGTTTTCAGTGCATTTACGTGTTGTATCTTATAGCAGCAATGAACCGATATAAATTCATGGTTATATGTATGCAGATATTTATATAATTTATATGCCGTGGATGCTCGTTTGTGTACCGTTTGTATAGAATGACTTAGTAGTGAATGGAGCAGGCAGATACTAATTCACATTTGAATGCACATATATACATATATAGAGCAGCAGGTTAACAGATGTTAGTCATACCATACAATCAAACATACAAAGCACATGCAGTATATTTAATTTTTATGTCTATAAGATATTTCTCCATCTTGGCTGTTTTTCGTGATCACAAGTTTTAATCAAGCCTGTCAACGTACCTACTTCGTATCTGGTAATGATTGCAGGATATTGATGTAGTGTGTGATTCCTTATATAATAGCTGTAAAGTCGTTTCTTCGAATGATGGTATGAGGAGAATAAGGTTCGGAATACGACAATTCAAGATACTCTCGGTTGTGAGGCGCTCCTTCTTCAGATCAAGAAGTAACAATTACGATGGCTTGGTGAGTTGATTGTGATTTCAACGATAGACTGATGAAGCACACTCTTAGCAAAGCAGCAGCATTGAAGACGGTTCAGTGACGAATCGCTCGC